CATCATCATCACACCACCTCCATCATCATCATCACCACCATCTCCATCATCATCACCACCATCTCCATTATTAACATCACCACCTCTGTCATCATCACCACCACTACCTCCATCATCATCACCACCTCCATCATCATCACCACCATCTCCATTATCAACATCATCACCATCTCCATTATCAACATCACCACCTCCATCATCATCACCACCACCTTCGTCATCATCAGCACCACCTCCATCATCATCACCACCACCTTCATCATTATCATCACCACCACCTTATCACCTTCATATTAATTAAGCACTTACAGAAGTGTGTTGGGTGACTGAGCTAGAGAATGCAGGGTCTGTTTTTTGTTTTTTGTTTTTCCTTTCTTGGAGCTCTCTGCCCCCAAGCTGTGATGCTCTTCAGTTAGTTGTTTGTCACAGAGCTATCAGGCATCTCTCCAGTTTCCATATTAATATATTGTATGATATTCTCCCCATCTCTTTTTCTTCCCTACCCCGAAATAGCCAGTCAGAGGAGGAAGAAGATGTGTTTGTCCTCCCACGGAGGAGAAGCTCCCTAGGCCTGAGTGGATATCCCCTTCCAGAAGAGGAGCCAGGGGCTGAAGGTCCACTCCCCCGGGTACTCCGCAGAATCATCTCCATTGAAGAAGACCCCCTGCCCCAGCTCCTGGATGGCAGCTTTGAGCAGCCATTGAGCAAATGCCCAGAAGAGGAGGAGGTTGCCCAGCAGAGGGTGGAAGGACAAAGCCAGCAGGCCAGACCCTTGGAACCCATGCCTGCATCTCCCCGAGGACAGCCTGTTGGAAAAGAAGACTTGTCTAAGGTAAGGACACATCCTATGTTGGCTTGTAGATGTCACTTTTATACCTGTCCCTTGCATTTGAACCCAAGAGCCCCAAAGGCAGCTCAGGAAGTCAGATGTGGCTGGTCTCATGAATCACCCTATTTGTGTCCTTCAGATACCAGCTTGCCCTTTTGAACTGAGTGTCACTAGGGAGGCTCGGGGGTCCTGGAAAATTCTCTTTATAACTTCTGTGGTTTGCCCCTATGTTCTCTTTTCTGATTCAGATTCAAAAGCATTTAAAAAGTGGCTACTTTAGACAGACATCTTGTTTGGCTTTTAGCATAAGCTATCACATACTTTTAAAATTGCACGTCTTCTCTTATATTTTGTAACTGTTCTCAGCAAGGCCAATCATTGCTTTGTAAAGTTTGTGTAATCATCCCAGTCGGCTAATCATCCTTTCATTCCCAAATGCCCTGCCTAGTCCTCCCTTCAGGGTGCTTCTCCTCTCCCTCACCCCTCCTGCACTCCCAACCAGGGCTTCCTGCTCAATGCTGCAGGAAAAGGAGGCCATAGTAACCATCTTCCTCTGGTCCGTGGTGATGATGTTCCTCACCTTGTTTGTGACCCACGCCCAGAAATAGACTCCTCCAGCACTTCACCTCCCACTGGACCTTGTGAAAGGCTACAGAAATGCCCATGACAGTGTGAAAGAGACTCCTCCCTATACGCTGGGGCGGCCCTGTAGGACTGAGCCCTTCCTTGCCACTTGAGCATTTCCAAATGGCCGTATTAGCATGTGTGCCAGGAAAACTTTCCAACCACTGCAGGGACTCCTTGGCATCGGTTGTCATTCCTGGGCCTGGGTTAAGATGCCTCATGTCCCTTCTCCGAAGGGCCTTGGGCCAGCAGGCGAGTGAGAGCTGGATGGCACCAGTGGTCGATAGCGACCCCTCCCTCCTCCATGCCCTTCCACACCCCCTTCAGCACAGACCTGCACCTGCGGGCAGGGGGCACACTGGGGTTTTAAATACCCATGCTCTGCTCCCAAATGTAAAAGTGTCAAGAGGTCAGTAGGAGATGGGGTAAAGGGAGGAATGAAGCATCCAGGTGTGCTGGCCCATGTGAGCTGATGGGGTGCGTCAGCAGTGTCTTCTCCCCTGTGGCAGATGGGGAAGTAGAGGCCCGGAGGGGATAGACCTGGTCTGGCCCCCCAGGGACTTGAGCCCGGCCTGCTCGCCGTGTGCTCTCATGTGGGTGCTAACTCCACCACGTGTGCTACCAAGTAGCCTGGGACAGAAGCTGCTGCAGACAGGAAGTGTGCTCTCGGAGAATCATGGGGAAGCTTTACCAGAGGGTCTGCCCTTTGGAAGAGTGCTGTGAGGCAGGCCCTCCTACGCAAGGCTGCTGAGGCATCAATCCATCCGGCCTTTCTGGAAAGTAGTCTGATAACAAGAATCAAGAATTTAGAAATTCCACATCCTTTGAACCAGCACTTCTACTCCTAGCAATCCTTCCTAATAACCAAGTTCAGACAAAGATTTAACTCAGAAATGGTTATGTATATTAGCAAACACTTGAAAACATTCAATAGAATATTATAGCACTATTAAAAATCACATTTTCAAGGGGCGCCTGGGTGGCTCCGTCAGTTGAGCTTCTGCTTTCAGCTCAGGTCATGATCCCATGGTCTTGGGATTGAGCCCCATGTCCAGCTCCATGCTCAGCAGGTGGTCGGCTTGTTCCTCTCCCTCTGCCCCTCCCCCCGATCGTGCTCGCGTGTGTGCAGGCACGTTCTCTCTAATAAAGAAATAAAATCTAAAAAAAAATCACATTTTCAAGAAACTTTAGTGACTTGGAGAAATACTTATAATTTAATAATATATGAGAAAGAATAAAATTGTATATAATATTCCAGATCTCTTTAAATAAAACATGTATTCATTCATCTACATAGAAAAAAGCCTAGAAGACATGCATCAAAATATGAATAGTGACCACTTCTGGTTGGCAAGGTAGATTATGAATAATTATTATTTTCTTCTCTACTTTTCTGTTTTTCCTAATTTTAAAAATTAGCATGTATTACTTTTATTTTTTTAAAGCTTAATTAAAAAAAAAAAAGTGGCAGGACAGAGAATGAGAACAGATCTTACTCCAGCCCCCTCCCTGCAATCTGGCTGACACACTGTGGATTGTCCCCCAGAGGGAACACAGGTTATATGAGTGAACATGAGTCGGGGTTCGCTGCACCTGTGAGGTGGGGCCTGCCCAGAGCTGGACCATCAGTGTGTTGATCTTTGGCCTGCAAAAAAACCCCTGCTCTTCCTAGAACAGGGCCAGGACTGCCTCAGCAGCCAAAACCGTCTTCTCCTGCTCTGGGTTTCTTATTGCCCACCTGGAGACATGCCTAGGGATACACGGATTGCCGCACTGAGCTTTAGTCGCAAACAAATGACAGCTGGAGGCAGAGGCTGAGCAGGGACCAGCAGTCAATGCCCTTATGCATTATAAAAATAAAGAAAATGGGGCAGAGGGCATAGTTTATGAGTACGGGTTTTTTAAGTTTAGTCTAAACTCCTGTAATTGACCTTGAATTCCCTCCTAAGTACTGCATGGAATTGATTTCTCCCCAAAAGGCTGTTGATGGCTTTTCTCTGAGACTCAAGTACTGCTAATATCTGCTGCCACTCCATTATAGTATTTGCTCAGTGAGAGGAGCTAATTCCCCCAAATCCGCTTCTAAATAGATTCAAAAGAGCTTCCTTGTTTGGCCAGGCAGGGCTGGGCTGGGCCTGGAGGCAGGATTTGGCCAAGCAAACAAGCAGCTCATGGGAAGGAATGATCATGCAGCCGAGAGGACTCTGTGCCCGAAGGCAGCTCCTTACTCGGCTGCCCTGGCTGTCCTTGAGCATGTTCATCCCCCACTGGGCTTTAGGGTCCCAGACTAACTCAGGGGCAGATCTGCTCCCAGTCCGTGCGGGCTGGGCCAAGAAGAAGGAGCGCACGGGTGGTTGACTCTGGAAAGCTCCGCCCAGTGGTCTGGCCGGGCCGATTTCCCAACCTACTGAGTGGAGCCCGTTTCCCAGGCAGATGGGGTCCTAACCGGAAGCTGATGAGACGGAAGGATGAGCACTGTGCAGGGAGGCAAGTAAGAGCGTCCTCCATTCAGTCCAGGCTTTCAGTGCTAGGGCAGACATAAAGGCCCCCTCGCCCACCCTGGGCCTTCTCTGCCCCTGTGATATACCTATGCCTTCTTCTATCTCTCCTTGCCCCTGCAAACATCCCACCCGTCCTTCCCCCGGACAGAGAATCTCTGCCTCCTCTTTAAGCCCCGGCTCACGGTGTCCTCCCCTGTGGACCCTGGACTCCCCGTCCATGCTCCCGGAGCACTTGGAAGCATGTGTTGTAATTATTTGTTTATATGGCTGCCTCTTCCGTCCTCGGCCAGCTGGGCCTGCCTCCTCGTCCCTGTGTCTTCTGCCCACGGTCACAGCACAGTAGGCAGACAACAAATGGTTGAATGAGTGTCTCTCTTCCCTCCTGCTGATGCTAGAAGGAGCCCTTATGCCCAGGGCCCAAAGCTACTTGCATCCCGGACTGGAGTGCCCCCCCTCGTGCTGGTCTGGAGGCCAGGTCCCCACCTTCGCCTGGACCCTGTAGGGACTGGTTGAGGGACAGGTTGTAGCAGGAGGAGGGGCCAGTGGCCATGCCAGTCTGTCTGCCGTCCACAGGAGGAAGCCCCTCCCTCCAGCCCAGACCGGCTCTTCAAAATCGTGCTAGTGGGCAACTCCGCCGTGGGGAAGACTTCCTTCCTGAGGAGGTTCTGTGAGGAGCGGTTTGCCCCCGGCTTGGCAGCCACTGTGGGTGAGTTCTCGGGCCCCCCGCTCCGGGGAGGGTAGGGAGTGAGAAGTGGGCCTAGGAAGGGACTGGGGGCCCGGTGGGAGTGGCCGTGGGGCCTGGCTGGTAGGGGGCCCTGCCGGTTTATTCCCCAGTGAGGCCAAAGGAGCAAGGTCAAGTCCCCCTCCTGCACAGTGCCAGCCACGAAGCTCGTTCCACTGAACGCTTCCTTTGTCCAGCCCGAGGGGAGCTGCAGCTGACAAAGGTGGGCTTTGGGCCCCATGTTTCCCTCTGAGCCCGTCTCTTTTTTATTGTTTTTTCTCCATTTTCATCAGGGCCCTGAGTCTTCAGGCTCCTCCTGAGGTGTGCACCCCAACACTGCAACCCCTGCCTCCCCCACGGGCCAGCAGCTTCCTGCCCTGCCCCTCCCCGTGTGTGTGCGCGCGCGCGTGCATGTGTGTGCGTGTGTGTGTGTGTGTGTGTGTGTGTAGAGGGTGCGGTGGAGGACAGCGCTCTGGGTGACTCCTTTTACCATCACATCTTACCCGTTCTGCATCCCAGGCCTGCTGGGGGACAGCTGGATTTCATCGTGGAAGCTCATTAGGCTCAGCTATTAATGGATGATCATGGCTTAATGTGTTCCCACACTTGAGTAATATTTTATTCAGAGAGAGGCCTTTGTTCCCTTCACCCAAAGTTGCTCATTGCATTGGAAGATGTGGCAAGACCCAAGGGCATATTGACCTTTTAGCTTCTACCTTTTGCTTGAATCACTCAAGCACAAAATAAATCCCCTGAGAGACTGCTATGTACCCTTCAGCCGTAGTGATAAGGCAGCTGTATTTGAAAATATATTGATGTGATCTGCATATTTACCATGGGCTTTTGTATTCATCATTTCAATCTATCTTTGCACAACCCTGGGGGAAAGTACTCTTACCAGCCCAGTAGACAGATCAGGAAACCGAGGCCCAGAGAGGTTAAGAGGCTTATCCACATTCCCTCAGCTGGTTTAGTGCTGATATTGGCCCCTCACATGCCCCTTCTATACCATTCCACATACTGAGTTGTGTGTGCTCAGCACCCAGCAAGGGGTGAGGACACTTGCCCACCCTAAGAGGTGGGCACGGATTGGTACAGGCAGGGGAGGCTGCTGAGGTTCAGAGGGACATCAGGAGTCCTAGATCTTCATCTCAGCTCTGCCACTGATCAGCTGTGTGACCTTAGGAGGACATGTTCCCCCTGGGCCTTCAAGTTTCTCCTCCTGGAGGATTTGAACCAGGTCACCCAAGATGGCTTCCAAGCCTGGTTCTCTGTCCAGACCATTTTTGACCTTCAGCTATCTGACAAGCTGGCTCTATAAGACAAACTCTCCCTGCTCCAGAACCCTGCCTGGGGAGGTTCCGTATTCTTCCCCTTCCTTCCAAATTTGCTCCTGCAGATGGGTCTCTTCCCCCATGCTTCAGGCATCCCATTCTTACTGTTGGGTCTTTTCCTATGCTGTTATCATCTGGAACATTCTCCTGTCCCCTCCCTTCTGTCTCATTCCACCCAAAGACTGAGAGCATCCCCAGATGAAGAATCAGGTCCCTGACAGGAAGAAGGGCAGAGCTTGTGACCCAAGCCTGGAGAAGCCTGGCCTCGCTGGCCTTGTGTGAGCCCAGTGTCCTGCAGGAAGCAATGGCTGCAGGAGGAGGACTCACCTTCCCAGGGGCGTTCCGTGGGGTAGGCCCCCACAAGTCAGGGCTTCAGCACAGGTTCGTGGGAGACGGGGGTGCATGCCAGGCCCTCGGCCCTCAGAGGCACCCCTCTGAGCAAGGTGCACAGTGTGTCAATGAAATCCCTGTCAATGAAATCAGGGAATCGGGGGCCGTTTACGTTTCCAATTTTTGTGCCCCTGAGCTGGAAGCCTCTGAAAAAGGAAAAATCAGGCTAATTTGCACTTCCCAGGAGACCAATTATGGAAACACCTACAATTTAGGAAGGGAAAAATATCAAAGCTTCCAAATCAGGAATGCCCTTCATCATACTGCGCAGAACATGCTGGAACAGCAGCTGAAATTAGTCTCCCTGCCACACAACGTGCGTTGTTCTGGTACGCATGTCAGTAACAGATGTCACACCAGCCGCCAGAAAGATGCTCCCTTTAAAGAGACAGAAAAGCCACCGAATCCTGCTCTGGCCCTAGAGCCCCTCAGGGGCTTTGGACCCTCAGCCCCCCTAGCCTGGGGCTCGGGCCACCCGCCACCAAAGGGGACTTCAGGTCTCCCACTCCCTCATATGGATGTGATCCATCCTGGACTCTTGGCTTGTGCACAAGGTAAATGCTACAATACAACAGCGTGACTTGGGGGCCCTGCCCACGCCTCCTTAGGACCAGCTGACTCCTTCAAAGGCAAGGGCTTGAGCCCCGTGGGTGTCCTGGAGATGTCAAGTGATGGTTTCTGTAGAACGTCGGAGCTCATTTTGTACATGACAAGACTGATTAATAGAAGCTAAAGCTCCCTGGAAACCGGGACTCCGAGGCCTATGCTCCTTCCACTGCCCCACATTGGTTCACATCCCCCTGCCGTAAGTCACAGGCCACCGCCCAAGGTGTTTCTTCCAGAAGTTTTTTCCCAACAGAATGCACTCCAGTCTGCTTTCTATCCCACTCCGCATCTCTACAGAGAAATCCCTAGAGTTTTTCTCTACGACAACTTTCAGGCCCTCCCCCTCCCAAATCCCCCCTACTCTAAATGATGTCTTGAGCCTGTCTTGTCCAGAAGTGAACATCGCCTTTCCTGGAGTCCATCAGCCCAGCTGTATCCCACACCATCCCCTAACAAGACACGACACAATTCTCAGTGCCGGGGACCCCTGACGTCCAGCTGTCATTCAGGAATCAGTTAGGTTGCAAGTTGGAGGTCACTGCCATGTGTTTATTGAATGCTACAGCTGAACTTCAAGATTATGAACATCTGACCTATCCCTCTACACCGTCCATCACCCCTCATTTGTAGGTGAGGAGTGAAGACACCCCAAAATGACGTAATATCATCAAGATCGCATAGCTGGTCAGAGGCAGAACTGAGACTGGACATAGCATGGGTTGCCCAGCTCCTGAAATGTTAGAACTGTCTGTGGTCTTAGAAACCAGTTTATTCCAGGCTCTCTGGTCCCACGTCATTGTGTGTTGCCTGCTCTGTTGGATTCGGACTCCTTGTGTCTCCTGCCACCGCCCCCAGGCTCTCCCTGTGGGCTTCTCAGTTTCCTGGGCCTGTCTGAGGTTTGCAGAGATGAGTACATCGTGTACCCAGCTGAGACTCTCAGCAAGCTCACCACGGCACAGAACCCATTTTGCCAGTACTCCTGCCCCCTGCAAGACAAGCTCCGTGTCCTCCAGCAAGTACTTAGCCAATGAGAGCAGAACCATGACCGTAGCCAAGACCCAGCCGCCCCAAACAGCACCACCTGCCCCTCCGCCTGCTTGCCTTTCCACTCAGGAGAGGGCTCTGTCCTCAGGGGCTTTGGACCCTCAGCCTGCTTTCAGATCAGGCCCTGAAGGTGTGTCAACCATGGTCGGCTTTCTGCTGAGTTGTTATCACAAAGCAGGCAGCTCCTTCAGTCCCCCAGAGCAGAGACTGGGGAAGCCCTTGCACTTCTCGCTAAGAAGAAAACTCACTCCCAGATTCAGCCCAGCCAGTCATAATCCGTTTTTCTGGGAGCACTGAGCCCTGAGCCTCCTGGGCGAAATGAGGCTGCCAGGTGTCCCTGTGTACAGGGCACTGCTACAGAAAGAATGAGCCTCAGGGCTGGGCTTGCAACTTGCTGCCCAGCGTGGGCAAGACACCCCGTCACTGGGCATGCGTGTGTGTGCGTGTGTGTGCGTGTGTGCATGTGCGCGTGTGTGTATGGATGTGCGTGCACATGCATGCCCCTGCAGGTGTGCAGATAACAACCCTCACGTGGATGTCACAGGAGCACTGTGACGGTAGAGAGATGGCACAGGAAACCTAGAAATATCAAGCATTCTACCAACTGGACAAATCGCTCTTTTGCTCTTCCAGATGCACCAATGCACTCCCCTCTTGGCCTCACCTGTGAAGCAGAGGGCTTCTAGAGCCCCTGCTGGTCTGACATTCTAGGAGTGGAGGACTCTCCCGCCTTCCTGCCACTCCTGGGCCCCTAGTGCACTAGGGCCTTGCCTGGAGACCGTGGCTGGGATGACCTTTCCGATTTACTGCCTCTCTGTCGTCTCTTTTGTCTCTCTCTGGCCAAGCTTCTGTTGCTGTCCCTTACTGAGCCTCCCATGGCAGTCACATAGGATGTCCCAGCTCCTTCGCCCTGGGCCTTTTTGAAGGTGGCAGGGGATGCCCTCTAGTTCCCAGATCAGACACCATGAGGGGGAAAGACTTTTTGAAAAGTGTTAAACATTTGTGAACATTCTTACATGATGTAGGAAAGAGGAATATGTTCTCAGAGAAACTGCATTGAGGTCCTTTTCTCCGAGGGCCACGGTGGGGTACAGTTCTTGTCCCTCTGGACCAAGACTCTGGGTAGGGTCGAGGCCGCAGAGAGATGATTTTGACTGGCCCAGGGGCTAGGATTAGGAGCTCTAAGCCCATCTCAAGGGTGAATGCTGCTTTTGACTCCCTCCCTTACCCCTTCTCTTCTCTTCTGACCTTCCCTCTACCTGCCACCCCTCCCCCACTTCCCCACATCCTTTGCATTGGCAGATGGAAGTCTGAAAGTATGATCAATCCCCCACCCCACCCCCTGGGGATATTTGAATTTTGTTAGGGGAACTTTGAAAAGGATTTTAGGGAGTAGGGGGAGAAAGAAATAGGAGGACTGTCTCCTCCTCCATTTTTGCAATGAGGGAGTAAATTGGTGAAAAATAACAATTTTCGTTGCCTTGGTATATCGTTTCTACGTATGTGATCTCATTTGACCCTTATTATAGAATCCCTAAAGAGGGTGTGGATTACATTACAGTGAGGAACCTACGGTTCAGAGAGTTTAAGTGATTTGATCCACAGCCCACAGCGGCTAAGTGGCAGACACAGGACCAGAACTCAGGCTCCCTGGGGCTGGGGGGAACCTGCACAGGGAAGCTGTTGCCCCTGGCCTCACATGCTTCAGGACATGTTGGGGGTCGTTTTCTGATCCGGAAGTGATAGGCTCATTCCACCTTGCAGGCATCGACTATCGGGTGAAGATGGTGAGCGTGGACGACTCGTCCGTGGCGCTGCAGCTGTGGGACACGGCGGGGCAGGAGAGGTGAGGAGCACCCCTGGCCAAACCCTGCCTCCTCCACCGGCCACCGAGAGGGCTGCAGGTGCGGGCTGCGGGGGGAGCCATGCAGCCCCTGACGTGTGGTCCTCGGTGGCAGGTATCGCTGCATCACTCAGCAGTTCTTCAGGAAGGCCGATGGTGTCATCGTCATGTACGATGTCACCGCCAGACAGTCGTTCCTGTCGGTCCGGCAGTGGCTGAGCAGCGTGGAGGTGAGCTGGTGACCTTCCTAGGAGCGCTGACGCTGACTCCTGCCTCCCCCTTGTCCCTGCCCATCTCCTGCCCGGCCCTCTGCTCTTCCAAAACCTGATTCAGAGCCCGCCTTCTCCAGGCGTGCATATGGCCATTCACCCAAGCCCAGCCCTCGGTACTGGGGATGAACGAGACTGACACAGTCCCTGCCCTCATGAAGGTGGGACTTGAAAAACAGATCACGCCCATAACTGTGTCATTACAATTGCCATAAGTGCCTCAAGTGAATGGGCTGGATTGGGGGAGGGCTCAGAATGGAGAGAAACCGGTGTTTAAACTGAGCCCCACCCATGTTCTTCCTCCTTTTTGCCCCTCTGTGTTGTTCTGGCTCCCGTGGGCCCAGCTATGCCCAGCCCAGGAGTGGCTCCACACAGTGTCTTGGGGCCTCTGTCACAACCCTTCTCAAGAGGGGAGGTTGATCTACAATGTGAGCGCCCCCGGCTCACCCCAAAGTCACCCTGGGCAGGACCCACAGGCAACAGCCCTCTTCTTTGAATTCTGGATTAACTGTAAGACTCAACTCTCTTGATTTATACTTGCAATAAGTTGTTGCGTAAGTGCTTTGTACTTTCTGACCATCTGCATCAGATGCAGCCTTCTCAAGGCCAAGGTCAGGGCGGACAAGGCACGGATTTATTTGACAGGGACTCAGCGAGTCTTTTTTTTTTTTTTTTTTTTGGTGCTTTAAAAAACGCTATTGCTTTATTCAGCGGAGTCTTTTAACAAAACCATCAGCTAGGATGCCCCACCTCCTTCCACCTGCAGGATCCATGTGTTGTTCATGTATTTGTCTAAAGCACTGCTAGGCACTGTTCTAGGTTCTGGAAATCATAGCAGCAGATAAAAGACAAGGTTCCTGTCCTCGTGGAGTTTACTTTCAACCTGCTGCTCAAGCCCCTAAGACCTGGCATAGCCCTCACCTACTCACCACACTGTGACACTGCTGTGAAGGACACAGCTGCCAACCCAGCTCCCTGCCTCTGGGTCTCCTGAGAACTGACACTGTGTAACAGGCGCTTGGCATGGGCCCCACAGAACTAGCGCTCAACAGATGTGGGAGGAGAGAATGGATACCATATCGTTGGGCAGGCAGAATCCTGGAGTTGTTCATTTCTTCATCCTTTTGGCCCTAAGATCTGTGATTCCTCCCACCAAAATCTGTTTCTCTTAGAGTTTAGATTGGCTGGGCCACTCCTTTCTCTGCTGTGAATCCACATCCCTCTCATTTCCAGGAAAAAAGAAGGAACAAGAGTGGAAACCAGATTCAAAGGTTTCTCTGAAATTTGCTTCATACAAATTATTTCTCGAAATGATCGGGCTTGAGAAATTTACAGTAGAGAAAATGTTAAGTTTTGACATATGGTGAATGGCTCTACTCCGAGCTAATAATGGAGGCAAATGGGATGGGTAATCTGGAAGCAATTCCTGTTTAAACTTTGGAATTTATGACATGATTTTTTTTTTTTTTTGATAGTGTGGCAGATTTATCTTCCTCACAGAAATTAAGCACCAGGAGAGACATGAGGGATTATCTAATCTGATGGTTCTCAAACTTTCTTCCTGGGAACCCTGGGGACATGAGGACTTCCCCCAGGCACTGGGGAGGGCTCATCCCCCAGATCATTCAGCGCCACCTCTGCTTCATTCAATTTTCTCTATTGGAAGTCCAGGCACAATTTTGCTAGACAGGAGGGCTTCCCTGTGAAAAATCACTGATCTAAAACAGCCATCTCATTCTCAAAGGAAGAAATGGAGGCTATGACGTCTGCACCACCCAGTCTCTTCCCAGCTAAGCCCATGTCGTTGTCCCCTGATATCGACATCTTGAGACAGACAGGAGCAGGCAGAGGCAGTTCGAGTAGTCTGGGATGAGTAGGGATGGATAGAGGAGGCAAACTTGCAGAACTGTGCTCTCTGCCTTCAGTAGGGGCTGTCGCTTCTGAGGCCCCGGTTTTGCACCCAGAGCCCGGGATCTGGCTGGAGAGGCGGAATATCAGGTTGAATTTGGCAGCGGCGGCGGTGAGGCAAAGACAGCCGAGGGTCACCGTTGCAGCTGGAAACACGAGTTCGGTCATTCTCCGGAAAACCGTGCCAAGCCCCGGATGTCTGGTGTGTGCCCAAATGGGCTGAAAAGCATTGTCAGCACGTACCCAGCAAGAGTCCCCAGGGAAACCCTAGTGCCTCGATGGCCCAGGGAAGCCACACGGAAATGCACTTAACTCAGAATTCTCCAGGTGAGGGTGGGGCTTTCCTCTATAATTTGGAGTTTGAATGTTCCTTCTTGAGAGTAGCAGCAGAAGGTACAGGTAAACTCTAAATGGGGCTGCCAAACCTGGATAATCAGGATTCACCTGTGGTGCTTTCAAACAAAACAGATGCCAGGCCTTCTCCCCCAGATAGAATGATTCAGAGCCTGGAAATACAATTAAGAAAAAGAAAAAAGCAACAGTTCCCCAAGTGATTTTGATTCTCAGTTGCCATGATTCCAAGCCTGAAAAGTGCTTCTCAAAGTTCAATATGCATAGGAATCTCCTGGGGAACCTTGCTAAAATACGGAATTTGACTCAGCAGGTTCAGAATCTTGGATAGGCCCCGAGGTTCTGCATTTTCTAACAAGTTCTCCAGCGAGGCCAATGCGGCCAGGCCGGGGACCACACTTTGAGAAGCAAGGCCCTGAATCACTTTCAAAGATGTCTGTGTTCCTTCCAAAGAATCCGCCAGACCCACCTGTCTGGCGCGGGCGAGGCACTCTGGGGGAGTCGGTGTGGGGACCCAGTCCAGTGGCCCCACGGGATTGCAGACAAGTGCGGGGGGCGGGCAGCGGTTGTGTGAACCTGTGAACAAGTGTCAGATGGCGGAGTGTGTCGAAGGTGTGGAACAGTGGGTTCGTGAATGCAATTATTCTCAAGATTCTTGAAAAGCTAAAGTCATTCTGCCTTGGCAACCAGCAATCAGAGGTGTCAGGTGACAGATTAAAACCTGACACCTAATTTGATCAGAGGGAACTGAAAATAATAAGTACTTTGTATTTGTGGAGCACCTTATTTTTCCATGGAGCTCCAAGCACTTTGCCAACTGCCTCACTCGGAGAAGGGAGGGTGGAGGGGAGCTTTAATAACAGGCTTCACGTTCTGAAGCCTTATTATTAAGTGAATGCTGGCCAGCTGTTGGCATCGCCCCTTCCTCCCGCAACCTGAAAAGCAGTGCAAGAAGAAAGGGCTTAAAATGACCCAGATTATATGTGGCAAAGACTCACTCTTGGAAGAGGTTGTGTATGGGGGGGAGTAGATGCTTGGTGGGGCCGGGGGGCGCTATGGAGTCCCGTGAAAAGGAAGTTCTTACCATCCTAGCTCAGCACTTCCTGGCCGTGAAACTGGCCAGTCACCCGATGACAGACTGGACCAGAATCTCTGACGGGTTCCTCCTGGCCCCCGCATTCTTACGGCGTATGGCATTTGATCCTCTGGAGGGGGGAGGGGTCCATGGTGGAGCAGGAGTGTGCGCAGATGAGAGGACCCTAGAGGATCCTTCCAGTCCCGACGGAACCAAAATCCTTTGGCGCAAGAGACCTAACACACACCTGCGCAGCTTTATGAGTTGGGAGAGCCCGGCCCCCATGGCTGGCCCCCTGCCCCACCCTCCCTCATTCCCCCCATCCCTAGGCAGCTCTACCTTGCCCACAGGCCTGCTGCAGGAGAGGCCCAAGCACACACTGTGCTGATTCTCCTGTCATTTTACATTCCCTGTGTACCTTATAGCACATCAAAGCAGGTAGCCATTCCTGCCACCTCAGTTTCCCCAGCCCTCCCCTACCTCCTTCTCATCTCTGCTGGGTAGAACTGGTTTAACCAGTCTAATCTAGAGAAGAAACTGGTTGGGCTCTCAGGGTCCCGTGTTTAGACCATGGGACAATCTGGACATCTGGAGACTTTGGGGCCTGTATCAGTTAGGGAAAATCGGCTTTGGTACAAGCTTGAACGGGCTGGTATTTTCCCCGAATCCAGTTTGTGGGTCCCCAGTGTCTGCAGTCCTGGCATGTTGAACTTCCTGCTTCAATCTTTTGTCACTCTGAAGGCCCCGTATTGTTAGGTCTGTAAGTCAAGGAAGTGGAAAATGACGGGGTCATGAAACCAACAGGAGCAGCGACCCGAACTGGGAAAAAACTTGGAGATTAATTTAATGCAGCCTCTTATTTTATAGATGAAAAGTCCTGCGATCCAGAGAGAGGAAGTGACTTGTCCAAAAGTCCCCACAGCTTGCCAGACGCCCAGCCAGAACTAGAGTCTAGTTCTAGCCACTGTGTTATGCTGCATTATGCATTATGTGACAAGAACATCACATGGTCCATGGGCGAAATCTGCTTCTGAAAAATAGGTGTTCATTTCTTTTTCAGTCCTTCCCATTTCCGCCTCAAAGCAGAACACTTCGTTAGCTCAGAGGGGCCCGGCGCACTTTCCTCTCCCTTTGTGGACCACTAGCTAATTCTCATTCTGTGATCTTTGTTGCTGGAGGCAATGCACAGCACAGAGCAAAAAATAGCAGTTTGATTTTTTCCCCCATGTTCCAAGTTGAGCTTGAAGTGCTGGCAGTTTAAAACGAACTACACAAATAAATCTTGTTTTGACTCATAGTCCAGGGGGTGGATAAATATGGAAACCCCCAAGATATAATTTTGCAGTTATTTTTTTCTTAGCATAACTACATGCCTTAATGTGCTGAGAAATTTTTTGTTCTGGCTCCAGAGAAATAGCAGCACTATCCTGGCTAAGTGCTTTTTCTTGCCTCCCAGCAAATGGATATTAACACACACACACACACACACACACACACACACACTACAGCCAACCAAACCCAACAGCTGCACGTTCTGAGCTGAATGCCAGTCCTCTGCTCCAAGTTGACAGCTCATGTTATTTAAAGTCAGAGGTGGGTAATCTTTTGAATTTCAACACGTCTGTCTTCCAACAAGCTCAAGTTCAAAGAAAGGCAACTAAAATGGTTGGAGGTATGGAGAGGCTTCTGGGCCGGTGTCAGCGGATAGGAACCAGCTGTGTAGGTCCATCTCATAGCTCACAGAATACAGTCTGTGAAAAGGAGTGGGTCCCACACACACAGAGGTCATGTGCCCGGCTAAACAGCTTCGATTCCTTCCTCTGACCTGCCATGCCTACGGAGTTCTACCAGCATCTATAGAAATGTCACCAGAGGTGGGGGTGGACCTTAGACTTGTTTGCCAA